GGACAAATGGAGAGGGTGAATCTCCCTAATGGGGGCACAGACAACAATAAATCTGTTCTAATCCATCTCCACTCTAGAGCTCCACAACTAAAAAAAAAAACATTTAGTTATACTGTACTTTAAACTTTACTTGTAATGTATCTAAAGCCAAAACTTTTATTGTATTTTTTATTTAATTTTGGATAGAGCCGTGAGGGATTATAATCCCTGTCAAGATTTTATTTCTGTCTGTGTACTTACTATCACAGAGTACTGAAAGTAAGAGTAACAGAAAGAGGGGGGAAATCTTCCAATGGGGACACTTGTTCCAGTAACAATTCACTAAATGGGGGATCTCCTTCACTTTGGAGAGATTTCCTCTCGCTTCCTGTTGCGAGAAGAGAAATCTCAACAATGGGGCACAGATTAAAAAAAACTGACAAGTGGTGCACCGAAATGAAAATTCTGGTGTCAAAAACAAAAACTCAAAACGCACTTGGACGAAAACCGAAACGCAAAGTTTTTAAAAATGAACATATATATTTTGTGGAAAAAAATACACTTTGATAAAAAAAAAACAAAACACAGAAACAAAACACAATACATACCCCAATTTTTTGTAAAATATTAAAGAGGATGTTACGGCAAGTAAATAGATACCCAACATGTCACACTTTAAAATTGCGCACGGTCGTTGAATGGCGTGAAACTGCAGTACTTAAAAATCTCCATGGGTGATGCTTTAAAAATTTCTACAGATTAGCAGTGTAAAGTTATAGAGGAGGTCTAGTGCGAGAATTATTGATCTTGCTCTGACGTTCGTGGCAATACCTCAAATGTGGTTTGAACGCCATTTACATATGTGGGCATGGCCTACATATGCGTTCACCACTACGTGCGGCACGGGGGACGGGGGCACTTTAAACTTTTTTTTATTTAATTTTTTTTGGACTGTCCCTTTAAAAAAAAAAATTAATCACTTTTATTCTTATCACAAGAAATGCATGCATCCCTTGTGATAGAAATAATTAGTGACAGGTCCTCTTTATGGAGAGATATGGGGTCAATAAGACCCCACATCTCTCCTCTGCAATATAAAGCATTGGATCAAAAAAAAAGCATTGATCTAGTGCTTTAAATAAATTAAAAAAAAAAAAAAATGGCTGGAACGGGACGTAACATCGCCCCGGTCCTCCAAGGGTATAGAGATGTGTGGCGGCCATCTTTCCTTCACTCATCTCTATGCCCAGCGCAGGGATCAATGGTTTCTCAGGTAAGGCTGAGAACTACCGAGCAGCGGTGGCAAGGGGCGGGGTTTTTTTTTGGCACCTGTATTGGTGCTTTTTTTTTCATTTCGGCCAACTGCCGAAAGGGGTGTTGTTGGCCGAAACGTTTCGGCCACCGAAATTTCGGTGCATCCCTAGTTTTCACCTTTCCTTATCCCATCCGAAACGGAAAGAAAAGTTTTGGAATCAGTTATATTACAAATATATTTCCAACTGAAAAGTTGATTATGTTTAGTTATAACAATTGAAACATTGCACCACTTCAGCTCCTGTTGATTTTACCCTTTTCATGACCAGGCCATTTTTTTCCTATCTAGCGCTATACTACCTTAACTGGTAATTGCCCAGTCATGCAACAGTGCACCCAAAGAAAATTTATAGAATTTTTTTTCACACAAATAAAGCTTTCTTTTGGTGGTATTTGATCACCACTGTTTTTTTTCCCCTGATATCAAAGAAAATTTTTTTTTTTTTTTTTATATTTTTTTACCTTCTGCTATAAAACATATCCAATAAAAAAAAACTGTAAAAAAAAAATCAACATTCTTCATAAATTTTGGCCAAATGGATGGAGTAGTGAATGGTTGGTGGACGGCCACCCTGCTCCAATAAGGCTGCGACGTCAGCAAGGCAGTGGTGGAGTCATGTTTGGGTCCAGAATCATGGGAACAGAGCTGGTTAGCCCCTTTAGAACCTTTGGAGCATCCTCAAGCAAAAGATCTATGAGGGTGGGAGGCAGTTTACATCCAAACAGCAGCTCTGGGAGGCTATTCTGACATCTTGCAAACAAATTCAAGCAGAAACTGTCCCAAAAACGCACAAGTTCAATGGATGCAAGACTTGTGAAGCTGCTATCAAATAAGGGGTCCTATGTTACAATGTAACGTGACCTGTTAAAATGTTTAAAAAGTTAAAATGTTGTTAAAAGTTTGATTGAAATAGCTTTTGATTTCAGTAAATATGCTGCAAACACAACAAATGACAATTTTCAGTTCTTTACAACCAATAAAGTGTTTTGAAACTTACTGTGCGTAATAATTTGGAACAGTGCATTGGAAGTGTTTTATGTTTAACAAAAATCCTGTTATCATTAGGAGGTTTGTTCAATAAAATTTGAATTGTACTCTTAATAGTTGATAACATGAGAATTATGCTGACTGTTATTTACATCAATTATTTAGGTAAATGAGAAAAATATCATTTTCAGAATAATTTGGAACAGGGTGTATATATATATATACACATATATACATACATACACACACATACATACATACACACACACACCTGTATATATATATATATATATAGTATATATATATATATATATATATATATATATATATATATATATATATATACATACATATACATACACACACACATACAGAGAGAGAGAGAGAGATAAAACACACATACATATGTATATGCATATACACTGGAAGTTTTATTTTTTTTTTATATTACTAATTGCGGTGATCAGAAACTTATAATGGAACTGCAATAGTGTGACGGGCTATCTGACACTAACTGACATTACCAGTGACATTAATACAGTGATCAGTCTGTCGCTGTAATAATGACACTGGCGGGGAAAAGGTTGACATCTAAGGCGCTCAAGGGGTTCTGTGTGTCCAACTATGTGTAATGAAGTAAAGTGTGCTGCTTTCTTCTCTAAGTTTCCGCTTTGCGGGGATGAGAAAAAGAGATCGTTCTCACTGCATACAGCTCTGTGTTGATTGTCAACACAGAGCACTGGGCTGTGATTGTACACAGCGGATCAGCATTTCCTGGCCGTGAATCATTGGCTGGGACTTGCCAACAGTCTCCTGCTGTGTACAATCACAGCAGGTGCTGGCCATGGGGCTCGAATGCCCGCGTTCTACACCTGGAAGTCGGCAGCGACGCATAGGCACGTCGCTTTGCCTACAGCAGTGATGGGAAATCCAGAATTTTATGGTTGTCGCCAGAACAGGAATAAAGCAGAAATCTTTCAGCAGGAACACCTGTTCAATGACAACTAAGAGGGAATTTGCCCCTTACTTTGGAGACATTTCCTCCCACTTCCTGTTGGGTCTCTAGGACAGGAAGTGAACTGTAATCTCCTCAATGGGACACAGACAAAACAGTTCTAACCATTTAATCAAAGCTAAAAAAGAAATGTTTTAGTTAAAGATCCACTTTAATCAAGTCTAATCTAACAGAATTCTAAAGGCCCATGCACACAGTCACTCAGCCCCATGCAGCATGAAAAGCTGTTTGTTTATCTGTCCTCATCACTACACCCATCCCTGCGTACCTGTCAAGCTTGGCTGTGTTGGCGAGTCCGTACAGCCAGTACATGTCCTTTCAACAGGGGCTCATTCACTCATTAGATGCGTACAGCAAATCCAAACGCAGAACTATAGTAATCAATGAGTCCATACACACAGCTGCGTCTACGTACGAAACTGTGCGTTGCGTTTAGTCATGCACAAAAAAAGTAGCGCACAGCTGCACGAGTAGATCTGCAGATTCTACTCACAGATGTGTATAATCATCCATGAACGCAAATAGTTTAGGCGCGCAATTTAACCGCTTGCCCTCCAGAGGATTTACCCCCCTTCCTGACCAGGCCTTTTTTTTGCGATACGGCGCTGTGTTACTGTAACTGACATTTGCGCAATCATGCAATGCTGCACCCAGATGACATTTGCGCCCTTTTTTCCCACAAATAGAATTTTCTTTCAGTGGCATTTGATATTTGATCGCCTCTGCAGTTTTTATTTTTTGCACTAATATATATATATAAAAGAAGGACTGACAAGTTTGAAAAAAAAAAAAAAACCAAAACAATATTGTTTACTGTTTGCTATTAAACATGTCCAGTAAAAAAATGTAAAATATCTAATTTCGTCAAATTCAAGCCAAAATGTATTCTGCTACATGACTTTGCTAAAAAAAATTCCAATACTTGTAAATCAATTGGTTCACGTGAAAGTTATAGCGTCTACAAATGCCGGTATATAAACTGAGATATTTTTTTTTTGTGTTTTTATTACTAGTGATGGTGGAGATCAGCGACTTATAGCGGGACTGCGGCGGCCATTCGGACACTGGGGGGAACTGACTTGATGTCACAGACATCCCCAGTGACACCAATACACTGACAACTGCGCACCAATGCAACGCTGTACATAAATTAAATTTATGTCCTTTTTTCCCCACAAATAGAGCTTTCTTTAGGTGGTATTTGATCACGTGTTATTTTGTTTATAGTACAAAAAATAAAAAAAAAAGACCAACAATTTTGAAGAAAAAAACAATATTTTTTACTTTTTGCTATAAAACATATCCAGCAAAAAAAAAATAAAAAATAAAATTTCTTCACAAATTTAGGCCAAAATGTATTTTGCTAAACGTCTTTGCTAAAATGGCGGTATATATATATATATATATATATACATACTGGAATTTTTATTTTTTTTTATACTAGTAATGGCGGTGATCGGCGACTCATAGAAGGACTGCAGCGGGCCATCCCCAGTAACACTAATACAGTGATCAGTGCTAATAAAAAGCACTGACATGGTACAAATGACACTGGGCAGGAAGGGGTTAACATGTGGGGCGATCAAAGGCGATTAACTGTGTGCTGTTTTACTACGCAGACATGCTGCTATGTATTTCTGTGCTGTGCAGAGAAATACAAAGCAGCATGTCCTTGCTGGCAGGAGAGAGACCTATGTTGTTTACACACAGGCCTCTGCCCTGCCAGCTTTGACTATTGCCGGGTGCCGGCGGGGAATCTCCAGCTGGGACCCGGTGATTGACATCTCTAGCCGCCAATGGTGGCGCTGGTAGGGCCGCGCACGTGCCCCCTAGCCGGAAATATGAATCAAGTATATTTATGTGATTTTGCACAGCCCTGCCGCCCTGTAGCAGTAGTTCTACTATATGGTTAAGCAGGATCTTTATTTCATGCAGAAGTAGCATCTAAACACGGCATTTTTTCCTGCCTGTGTGAATGAGCTCCAGCTCTGCCAGAAACAACCATTCTTTCACGCAAAAAAACTTGCGGCTAAGCGCAGCGAGTTTTTCTGCCCTTGTCAATGTGCCCAAATATGATCTATCTGTGCACAGCTCAGCACCAGGACAGAAAATCAGGCTGTGTGTGGCTGAGCGCCCATGTGAATAGGCCCTAAACGCTTACAGCCTGCATTCAGTTCACACTAGCGGCTTTCTGCATCTGATCAATGCCAGCCACTGCATAGGCACAGAGAAAACATTTGTAAATCTGGAACTCTCAATAAAGTTATAAAGTAAACAGTGCACACACCAAGCCGCCAGCTAAAATGAATTGTTCTATCATGTGGCTAGTGTGAAGAGGCCTAAAGGTAAACAGTTTTCTTTATGCAGCTTTGTATAGAGTAGGGAAAAAATAGAACCTGGTAGGCTTTTTTGTTGTTGTCTGTGTTCCTCCCGGGGAGATTAACCCTCTCTGTCTCTTGGTGACCAATGTAAGAAGGAAGGAAAGGGAGGGAAAACATTTGACTTGCCACCAAGAATAGTAGGGGGCATCTTCCAAAGCGGACATTTGTTTTGGTGACAACTGTCTAAAAAGGAGATTTACTGTAGTGTGGAGAGATTTACGCTCACTTCCTGTTGTGTCTACAGGACAGGAAGTCAAAGCAAATCTCTTGCGGTCAGTGCACACCATATGTGTTGGACAGCATTGTGCTGCTTGTGAAGCAGGTTTTAGGGCCGGGTCAGACTATAGAAACACGTTACATAGTTAGTCTGGCTGAAAAAAGACAAAAGTCCAACCATTAAAAAAAAAAAAAAAAAAGTTATAATCCTATACCCAGTTCCGGATGCATTTCTGCATGAGCGTTTTTGGTGTGTTCCGATGCGCTTTTGATGCATTCCAGTTCACTTTTTCCCCTTCTTTTTCTTCAATTTAAATAGGGACATGTGCCTTCCAGAGCATTTTTGGTGCATTCCGGTGCGTATTTGATGCATTTTGGTGCGTTCTGGATGCATTGTAACGCATTCCAGTACAGTTCTGTGCAGGGAAAATGCCTGTTGTACTATTTTTCTGCAACCGCAACACACTGGAACTGCAAGCACTGATGTGAACTGTGACACTTATTTATTACAGCTACTTATATAGCACCATCAATTTACACAGCACTTTATATATATATATATAGTACATGCACATCAGTCCCTGCCCTTAAGGAGCTTACAATCTAAGGTACCTTACATACAAAGGGCCAATTAACCTTTAGGCAGGAGCCAATTAACCTACCAGCATGTCTTTGCAGTGTGGGAGGAAACCAGAGTACCCGGAGGAAAGCCACGCAGGCACAGGGAGAGCATGCAAACTCCAGGCAGGTGGCGCTGTGGCTGGGATTCAAAACCAACGACCCTAGCACTGCCAGGTAGAAGTGCTAACCATTTAGCCACTGTGCTGCCTCACCATATAACCTAATTTCTGTGTCTTTTGGATGCAGGAAAAAAAAAAAAAAAAAAACCACACTGAAACTCGTGTAGTGTGAACTGGCCCTTACTGTCACTGTGAAGGAGACAGAAAAGTTATACCAAACCTAATGGTTGGATGTTCGCAAACACTCATGGGGAAGGGGGGTTAAAAAAAAGCGTCTGAGACAAACTGTGTCTCAACCGCAGCAGTTGCCTAATCAGCTTTTACCATTTCATTTTCTGATCTGTGCAGACAAAACAAAAGATAGAAGCTGATTGTTTACTAAACAGTTCACACAGAACTTGTCTCAGACACATTTTATTAATTCCTCCTATTATGTTAAAGGGCCGGTTTGCACTTGCAGCAGCCCTCTGAAGGGTGATCCACAGCAGATCGCTTTTCAGAGAGTGTTTGACAGGAGGTTAGGAGGAGTTAAGTCATCTCACTGCACCTTTTAACCCCTAAAAAGCCTACACCACAGCACACAGTGGCCCATTCACTTCAGAGGGTTACATTTGATACTGCCTGTGGATTATGGCATAACGGGGGGGGGGGGGGGGGGTTTGCTGCACCATGCTGTATAACTGTGTACAGCTGCCTTTGGGGCCCCCCAACCACCAAAGTGAGGGAAGACTGGCAGTTGCTGTCACTCTGGTCTTGGGGCTCATTCACACCAATTTTTCCCAATGAAGTCCTGATTTTTGTGTCAAAAGCACATTTGAGGAGCATTTTTAACGTGCAATAAAAACAACGCAAATTCAACAACTCACATTAACGCAACTGTTAAGCGCCAGTATTTTGAGCAGCGTATTTTGAGCGAGAGTGAACAAGGCCTTACACCCTCACTTGATTGGGTTAAAAGTGCGAACCGCATCTCCCTGAGCCGCTACGGTGTGAACCCTAGGGTAAGATGTCATGGGCAGTTTCCAATGTTTGTGACTGGGAGCTTCTGATCATGTGACTGCCAATCACAGGTCACCAAATCTGAAAGCTTGCATTTAGATTCTCTTAAAGGGCCAGGGGCCAGTGATGGTGGTGACAAGGGGTTAACAATCCTGCCATTGACGATTTCGTCCAATCACTGGGGCAGAGTCACCTGTCAGACATCAGCCTACCAAAACCTTGCCCTGTCACCCGCTGGAGTCAATGGGCCCCTGAATGGGACAGAGAAACTGACAGCTGATTAACCCTTCCCTGTCCAACATGAGGGGAAGAAAAAAGTTTTTGCACCTATAGAGCAGATCAGCGCCATAGGAGGAGAATGTGTGGAGTGAGCAGAGCTCAGATCCCCTCCAACACACAAAACACGTCAGAGTGGCGCTGCCAGTGACAGTGGCGGAGTAGCAGAGGGTGATCTTTGCCCCCAGTCCCCCCCGCCTGGTGTGATGTGACCCCGGGGCCTGCATACTGCATCATCCGAACCATGGCAGGCAATGAGGACCCGGCCGGGCTCACACTCCATAGACCTGCACAGTCCTCCGGCCGGGGCTCCTCTCTGCACTTCCCAATATAGATCCCTCTGGAAATGTCACTCCCATCCCATCCGCCCACCTAACTTTGTCAGCAGACATCTCTCTGCCCCCCATTTGGCACTTCCTGCCTGCAGACAGCACCCTAACACAGCCTGAGCACCCCGGACTCTGCCTGCCTTTGTTAACTCCCTACGGATGAGGATTTTACAGCATTGCCGTATACCGGCTGGTCACCCCTCCCCCCACTATACAGGGTGTACACCGCTCACTCCTATAGGAGCCGCTTACCTTGGCAGCCATGCTGTGACCCTCCTGTTCACTTGTGGCCCCGGAGCAGACACGGGGAGCCGCACACAGCGCACACTGCCTCTTCCTGTCCCGGCCTCCCTACTGTGTATACACGGCGCCCACTCCTCACTCACCTCCCCTCACTTCTCTCCTCTGTGCCTCATCGGCAAAATCAGGGGACCTCCTCAACCTCCCCTCACTTCTCTCCTCTGTGCCTTCGGCAATTATTAATACAGGGGTCCTCCTCACTCACCTCCTCCCCTCACTTCTCTCCTCTGTGCCTCAGAAATCGGCAATTATTAATACAGGGTCCTCCTCCTCCTCACTCACCTCCCCTCACTAACTTCTCTCTCTGTGCCTCAGAAATCAGCAATTATTAATACAGGGGTCCTCCTCACTCACCCCTCCCCTCACTAACTTCTCTCCTCTGTGCCTCAGAAATTATCAATTATTAATACAGGGGTCCTCCTCACTCACCTCCCCCTCACTTCTCTCCTCTGTGCCTCAGAAATCGGCAATTATTAATACAGGGGTCCTCCTCACTCACTCCCCTCACTTCTCCCTCTGTGCCTCACCTCCCCTCACCACCCCCCTCTTCTCTCCTCTGTGCCTCAGAAATCAGCAATTATTAATACTCCCCCCCACCCCCCCTCCTCACTCACCTCCCTCCCCCCCTCACTCTTCTCTCTCTGTGCCTCAGAAATCAGAATTATTACTACAGGGGTCCTCCTCACTCATCCCTCCCCCTCACTTCTCCCCTCTGTGCCTCAGAAATCAGCAATTATTAATACCCCTCCTCACTCCCCCTCCCCCCCTCCCCCTTCTCTCCTCTGTGCCTCAGAAATCAGCAATTATTACTACAGGGGTCCTCCTCACTCACCTCCCCTTCACCTCCTCTCCTCTGTGCCTCAGAAATCCCCCAATTATTATACAGGGGTCCCCTCCTCACCCCCCCCCCTGTGCCCCCCTCCTCACTTCCTCCTCTCACCCCCCTCAGACCCTCCCCTCACCAATTATTTAATACAGGGGTCCTCCTCACTCACCTCCCCTCACTAACTTCTCTCCTCTGTGCCTCAGAAATCAGCAATTATTAATACCACCCCCCCCCCCCTCCTCACTCACCTCCCCTCAATAACATCTCTCTTCTGTGCCTCAGATATGATCCAATTATTAATAAAGGGATCCTCCTCACTCACCTCCCCTCCCCTAACCTCCTTTCTGTGCCTCAGAAATGATCAATTATTAATACAGGGGTCCTCCTCCCTCACCTCCCCTCAATAATGTCTCTCCTCTGTGCCTCAGAAATGATCAATTATTAATACAGGGGTCCTCCTCACTCACCCCCCTCAGTATCTTCTCTCCTCACCCCCCCTCAGAAATGATCAGTTATTAATACAGGGGTCCTCCTCACACCTCACCTCCCCTCACTAACTTCTCTCTTCTGTGCCTCAGATATTATCAATTATTAATACAGGGGTCCTCCTCCTCACCCCTCCCCTCCCCAATAACTCTCTCTCTTCTGTGCCTCAGAAATTATCAATTATTCATACAGGGGTCCCTCCCCCCCCACCTTCTCTCTTCTCACCTCCCTTCACTTTCTCAGACAGTAACAATTATTAATACAGGAGTCCTCCTCACTCACCTCCCCTCACTAAACATCTCCTCCTGTGTGCCTCAGAAATGATCAGTTATGAATACAGGGTCCTCCTCCTCACTCCCCCCCCTCACTAACATCTCCTTTGTGCCCCTCAGAAATGATCAATTATTAATACAGGGGTCCTCCTCCCTCACCCCCCCTCACTAACATCTCCTTTGTGTGCCTCAGAAATGATCAGTTATTAATACAAGGGTCCTCCTCACCCCACCACCCTCCCTTCACTACCATCTCCCCCCCTGAATGCCTGAGAAATGATCAGTTATTAATACAGGGGTCCTCCTCACTCACCTCCCTTCACTACCATCTCCTTTCTGTGCCTCATAAATGATCAGTTATTAATACAGGGGTCCCTCCTCACTCACCTCCCTTCACCCCATCTCCTTTGTGTGCCTCAGAAATGATCATTTATTAATACAGGGGTCCCACACTCTCCTCTCTTCACTCTCTCTGTTCCTCAGAAATGCTCAGATATTAATACAGGGGTCCTCCTCACTCCCACCTCCCCTCACTAACATCACTCTTCTGTTCCTCAGAAATGGTCCAGATATTAATACAGGGGTCCTCCTCACTCACCCCCCTCCTAACATCACTCTTCTGTTCCTCAGAAATCCTCAGATATTAATACAGGGGTCCTCCTCACCATCACTACCTCCCTCCCCCCCCCCTCAGAAATGATCATTATTAATACAGGGGTCCTCCTCACTCACCTCCCCTCACTAACATCACTCTTCTGTTCCTCAGAAATGGTCAGATATTAATACAGGGGTCCTCCTCACTCACCTCCCCTCACTAACATCACTCTTCTGTTCCTCAGAAATGCTCAGATATTAATACAGGGGTCCTCCTCACTCACCTCCCCTCCACTACCATCTCCTTTGTGTGCCTCAGAAATGATCCGTTATTAATACAGGGGTCCACACTCAGCTCTCTTCACTCTTCCCCCCAGAAATGGTCAGATATTAATACAGGGGTCCTCCTCACTCACCTCCCCTCACTAACATCACTCTTCTGTTCCCAGAAATGGTCAGATATTAATACAGGGGTCCTCCTCACTCACCTCCCCTCACTAACATCACTCTTCTGTTCCTCAGAAATGGTCAGATATGAATACAGGGGTCCTCCTCACTCAGTAAGAATACAGTAGAGAAGTGAGCGCTCTCTGGTCAGCAGCGAAGGCACTAAAGGTAACAAAACCCCCCCCTCATCAGAAACTGAAATAAATAAATAAGTGCAGCGCTAATAATAATTAATATATAAATATCTGTCTGTAAATATTTCAAAATATACATGCCAAGGATAAATCAATCAGAAAGTGACAGTCTGTGCAGGTCTAGGTGCGGAATGACAGCAAAATCCGGTATTGGCTCCAAATAGTGTGGTGAAATGACGCACTCACCAGATGCGTAATGTATATACAGTACGCATTGAATAAATCAGTAGAGGTCCCCTTTAGGAGTTGGATATGATCCTGGTCAAGGATAATCCTCCCTCTAGGTAAAGGTTGTACTGTCAGGAGCTCACAGCAGGTAAAGATCCAGCTGGCCAGAGGTCCCCTTAAGGGACCCCCCCCCCCCCCCCCCTGTTTTCAGGACCTCCCTTCTCTGGATACTGCAGAGGGCTGGATCAGGTGGGCTCTACTATGAATAGCTCTGTATGGGAGACCATAAAGAATGCCCATAGTGCAGTAGTTAAATCCAAGTATTTATTAGTAAAGTGAATTTGTAAATTCATAAAAACTTTAAAAGCAAGTAACATCAAGTGGTATTGTGCAATTGTAGCATGGACTAACCGTCCAGAAAGCAAGATGGCCGCCGGGCCTCAATCTGGCTCCGGCGGCGTGACGTCACGGCGTCCTTGGCTCCTCCTAACACGTTTCGTGTGCACGCACTTCTTCAGAGGTGGATACCAATGATGCCATGACGTGAACAGAATGAATTTATAGGCAAAATGGTGTGTGCACATTACGCTGGCGCCATTTTGCCAAAGACCAGAATACAATCAATGTGCGGTGCCATTTTGCCATGGGTTTTGAAGACATAGTAAAAATATAAATGTAAGGACGAGGTAAGTACGTAAATGGTAATTAAATAGAAATGGCTAGATATTTATACAGGAGTCCCCCTCTTTACCAGGGGCGGACTGACCATTTTGAAAACTCCCCCTCGGGCACTGCCCGAGGGCCCAGGGTCAGTAGGGGGCCCCATGAGATGCCCCTGGTACCTTTTTCATAGGCTTTTTTGAGTTTGGGCAAGGACACAGGGGCCCCATGATCCCCTATAACCCATCCACCCCCATAAGTTGTCAGTCCGCCCCTGCTCTTTACTCAACTCCTCTCACTAACTTCACTCTTCTGTTCCTCAAAAATGATCAATTATTAATACAGGAGTCCTCACTCAGCTCCCCTCACAAACTACAACCTTCTGTGCCTCAGAAATGGCCAGATATTAATAAAGGAGTTCTCACTTAGCTGTCCTCATAAACCTCACTCTTCTGTCTTCATAAATGACCAGTTTATATTACAGAAACCTCTCTCTCCTGTTCCTCAGAAATGATCACTTAATACAGGAGTCCTCTTCACTGAGCTCTTCTCATAAGCTTCACTCTTCTGTTCTTCAGAAATGATCAACTAATAATATAGGAGTTCTCCTCACTCAACTCTAGTCACTAAATTCATTCTTCTGTTCTTCAGAAACTTCGCTTTTCTATTCCTCAGAAATTATCCATTATTAATAGAGGAGTTCTCACTCATCTCCCCTCACAAACTCCAACCTTCTCTTCCTCAGAAATGGCCAGATATTAATAAAGGAGTTCTCACTCAGCTGTCCGCACAAACCTCACTCTTTTGTTCTTCATAAATGACCAGTTTATATTACAGAAACGTCTCTCTTCTGAACTCTGAGGAGTTCTCATTCATCTCCCCTCACAAACTCCAACCTTCTCTTCCTCAAAAATGATCAATTATTAATACAGAAGTCCACACTCAGCTCCCCTCACACACTTCTCTCTCTTAATCCTCAGAAATGGCTATATATTTATACAGGAGTCCTCCTCACTCAGCTCCTCTCACTAACTTCACTCTTCAGTTCTTCAGAAATGGCCAGATATTGATAAAGAAGTCCTCCTCACACAGCTGCCCTCACGAACCCAACCTTCTGTTCCTCAGAAATGGCCAGATATTAATAAAAGAGTTCTCAATCAACTGTCCTCATAAACCTCACTCTTCTGTTCTTCATAAATGGCCAGTTTATAATACAGAAACTTCCCTTTTCTGTTCCTCAGAAATTATCAACTAATAATATAGGAGTCCTCCTCACTCAAGTGGCCTCATTAACTTCATTCTTCTGTTCCTCAAAAATAATCCATTATTAATACAGGAGTCCTCACTCAGCTCCCCTCACAAACTCCAGCCTTCTGTTCCTCAGAAATGGCCAGATATTAATAAAGGAGTCCTCACTCAGCTGTCCTCACACACTTCTCTCTCCTAATCCTCAGAAATGGCCAGATATTAATAAAGGAGTCCTCCTCAATCAGCTCCGCTCATGAACTCCAACCTTCCGTTCCTCAGAAATGGCCAGATATTAATAAAAGAGTTCTCACTCAGCTGTCCTCATAAACCTCACTCTTCTGTTCTTCATAAATGGCCAGTTTATAATACAGAAACTTCCCTTTTCTGTTCCTCAGAAATTATCAACTAATAATATAGGAGTCCTCCTCACTCAAGTGGCCTCATTAACCTCACTCTTCTGTTCTTCATAAATGGCCAGTTTATATTACAGAAACCTCTCTCTTCTGTTCCTCAAAAATGGTCAATTATTAATGCTCCAGCGCGATCTGTCACTGGCTGTGTCCACAGGTCACAACCAATGACAGATCATTACACCGCCCCGCTACCAGTGTCATGTGATCACTGTGACCAATCGCGGAAGATCGCATTATAGTTGTAAACAATGAATGGCTTCCTTTCATGCCATTCATTGCTTACAACTGTGCCACAAGCTGTGATTGGTCACAGAGATCACAAGTACAGACTGGGCCAATCACAGCCATCACCATCTGTAGCATGTGATCAGCTATGGCCAATCACAGCTGATCACAACAAATCTACTGAATTAAAATGTTTCATTTAGTAAAAATGCTTGTTTATACCAATTAAATTTGTTGGTATAAGCCATCATAATGTGTAAAAAAAAATTATGATCACTTAATATCAGTGTATTGCTCTGGTCACAGAAGTAAAAATAATAATAATAATGTAATAAAAGATTTTTTTAAAAGTTTAAAAATAAAAAAAATATATATTTTTTTACATACTGTCGCCAGTCAGTGACCATGATCACTGCTGCACCAGTTATAGGATGACGCTGTACTGCACTGGTGAATATATGTAGAAAAAAAAAATGTGAAAATTTTTTTAAATTTCCCAATTTTACACAAAATATGACAACTTCAAAAAACTCGCCATGCCTCTTACTAAATACCTCAGACTGTCTACTTTCCAAAAAGCGGTCATTTGGTGGTATTTGTACTGTCTTGGCATTTTTGTGGGCCTCAAGAAATTAGATCAGCCGTCAGTACATCAGGATTTATACATTTTTAGATATATTTCATAATTTGTGGCCTCTATAACTTTCCTACCAACTGAATCATGAACACTGATTTGGGTTATTTTCAACAAAGACATGTAGCAGAATACATTTTGGACTAAATTTGTGTAGAAAAATTATTTATTTGCAAAACAGAAACGAAGAAGTTTTTAGTTTACAGTGCAAAAAATAAAACACCCAGTGGTGATAAAATGGCAACAATGATAAAAAAGTCATATGGGTACAGTGTTGCATGACCGCGCAATTGTAATTTAAAGTGCAACAGCGCTGAAAGGTGAAAATTGGCCTGGGCAGGAAGGGGGTAAAAGTGCCCAGTTGGCACGTGGTTCATAGAAGAGTCCACACTCTACTGTCTTCACAAACTCCAAATATCTGTTCTTCAGAATGACAGTTAATAATACAGCAGCCCTCCCTCATCGCTCTTCACAGACTTCTCTCTTTTGTTCTTCAGAAGTGACCAGGTATTGGAGTGGAACAAAATACATAAATACCTCTACTCCAACAATTCAACACCCGCATTGTCCCTTGCCAGAGTCGGCATCTTCTCCCCACCTTTTTCTGTGCAAGTGCAGCTCCCTACACATTCTGGGGAGTTTTATGAACAGGCAGGTAAGTGTATTTTATTGTAGAAGAGACATTGCATGTCAAATTTTTTTATTTTCTGAGTTCAGTCCTGCCTTAACCACTTGCCCTCCTGAATATTTACCCCCTTTCCTGACCAGGCCATTTTTTGCATTATGGCACTGCGTTACTTTAACTGACAATTGTGCGGTCATGCAACACTGCTCCCAAATGAAATGTACGTCCTTTTTTCCCCACAAATTGAGCTTTCTTTCGGTGGTATTTGATCACTTCTGCGGTTTTAATTTTTAAAAAGACCGGCAATTTTGAGAAAAAAAAAACAATATTTTTGACTTTTTGCTATTAAACATGTCCAGTAAAAAAATGTAAAAAATCTAATTTTGTCATAAATTTAGGCCAAAATGTTTTCTGCTACATGTCTTTGCTAAAAAAGATTCCAATACGTGAAAGTTATGGCGTTTACAAATGGCGATATAGATAGTGGGATTTTTTTTGTTTATTTTTACTAGTGATGGCAGTAATCAGCAACTGCGGGACTGTGCCGGCCATTCTGACACTGGGGGGAACTGACTTGGTGTCACTGACATCCCCAGTTACACCAATACAGTGATCAGTGTTAAAAAAAATCACTGACATTGTACTAACGGCACTGGGTAGGAAGGGGTTAACATGAAGGGCGATCAAAGGGTTAACTCTGTGCTGTTTTGTCCATGTGAATGTGCTTCACTGTAAGCACACTACTTTGCATGGCTGTGCACAGCCATCCAAAGAGGTGTGCATGAGCTGACTGGGAGGAGAACTGTTTTGTTTACAAACAGTTCTCCTTTCCATCGGAGATGCTCGGAGATCACTGGGCGCCAGCGAGTAATCACCGGCTGGGACCCGGAGACTGACAGCCGTGGCTGCGAATGGAAGCGTGGGTAGGGTGTGTGCACACCCCCTACCCGGAAATGCAAAATATCAACTAAATAAATTAGTTAAAAGCGTTGTAGCGCTGCTAATGAACTTCAGTCAGTACTAATAAACAATACAGGTGGATAAATTGTGCTCATAGTCATAATGTGAATAAATGACCAAGAACATAGACCATAAATATAAATGAATGAATAATGTGAATAAAGATACTAAAGTGCTTTCACTCAATGAGTTCATAAGTTTCCAAATATCACATGATCTGACACAGTAACTACAATTCCATGGTGAATGTGAATTTTCAAACTAATAACAGTGCCATTCCGTGCTCACAGAACTCTCACCTCCAACGCATGTAAAAACTGCATGTTAATAGTATGACGTCTCCATACATCCAGACATCGCGATATCTCCTTTATCCATTCCTCCTCTCATATAATGAATACTTTTAAGATGTAATAAAATCCTCCGTCTCAGCGGATACCAGTCAGCTCCAACGCATGTAACACTTGCATGTATTTAATCAGACATCTCCATAAATCCGGACCTCGCAATATCTTATTTAGCCACTAGAGGGCTTTCCACTCCTCCCATATAATGGATAATAATAGATAATAATGGAAATCCTCCATTCCATCGGATGCCAGTACCTCACCCAAATGAAAGAATGCCTCATATAGTGTAGTAAGTCAGCAAAAAAACAATATTTATTCAGATCAATGACTAGCGCTTTAAAACAACCATGTATCCTCTCACTTCCTCAAAACTGCCATTACATCACTGTCATGTGACTTTATCACGATCCCTGATGAAGTCATGTGATGGTGATGTAACACGTAGGGCGTGGTCTGAGGCAGTTTTGAGGAAGTGAGAGGATCCATGGTTGTTTGAAAGTGCTTGTCATTTTAATATACAATGTAAGTGCGATTTTAATAAATATTGTTATTTTACTGACTTACTACACTATGTGAGGCATTCTTTCATTTGGGTGAGGTACTGGCATCCGGAGGAACAGAGGATTTCCATTATTACATATTATTATCCTTTACATGGGAGGAGGAGTGGATAGCCCTCTAGTGGCTAAATAAGATATTGTGAGGTCTGGATTTATGGAGATGTCTGATTAAATACATGTAAGTGTTACATGTGTTGGAACTGACTGGTATCCGCTGAGACGGAGGATTTTATTACCATCTTAAAAGTATTCATTATATGGGAGGAGGAATGGATAAAGGAGATATGACGAGGTCTGGATGTGTGGAGATGTCATATTATTAACACGCAGTTTTTACATGCGTTGGAGGTAAGATTTCTGTGAGCAGGAGGTGGCACTGTTATTAGCATCAAAATTCACAGTCACCATGGAATTGTAGTTACGGTGTCAGATTGTGTGATATTTGGAAACTTATAAACTCATTTATTGAAATCACTATAATATCTTTATTCATATTATTCATTTATTTTTATTTTGGATCATGTGATATTTGGAAACTTATGAACTCATTTTTTGAAAGCACTTTAGTATCTTTATTCACATTATTCATTAATTTATATTTATGGTCCATGTTCTTGGCAGGGTGGATAAAAATCAATGATTTTATTTTTAAAAATCAGATTTTTTTTATTTAAATCGGATTTTTTTGATTTAAATTGGATTTTTTTTATTTAAATCGGATTTTTTTAAATAAAATGCTTTTTGAGGAAAATATATTACCATCCAAAAGTTATTCCATCATGAAATAAAGATTAGTTTTTTAATTATGTAGAATAAGGCTGTATATATTTAATTTTTTTGGTAAATAAATTCCATTAATCCATTCACAATGTCATGCTCTTCCAGAGTTTTTTGTAAGATTATTGGGCAGTTTCTCTGCCTACAAGATATTATCACAGATGCTTGGTTTACTTTTGCAGTTCTCAAAACTGAATTTGACTCAGCGGAGATCACATGCCTCTTCTTCACAGCAAAAATGTTATAACATGAACAGAGTTAAGAAAAAGACCTTAATCCTAACTTCTACAAACCTATGAATACAGAATCAACCCCTTCAGTGCTAAGTTTCAAGAAGTTCAGTGAATAGAATAGAAACAATATTTTTCTGATTATTTGGAGTGGAATAGATCTGCACAAGAAGAAAGTGAAACTAAGTGTGAGGAGGAAGGGGCTGACAGTCTAAGTTTCTTAAAATATATATATTTTGTTTAGCCAAATTAGTTAACAAACATGGATGTTTGTTTAAGCAAATAACATATGCTGTAATGTTATTGTTTCAGATGAATAAATCAATTTTAATTGTTATTATTAAGGTAATGATTATTTTTCTCCTTCCTAAGTACAAAAGAAAAGTTGTCCAAAATTATATTATTATACAGTATTTATAAAGCGCCAATAGTTTGCTCAGCGCTGTACGTTACAAAGGGGGACAGAACATGTGACAGAACAATAACAATACAATGCAAAACATGAGGGGATTGAGGGCCCTGCTCTTTCGAGCTTACAATCTAGGAGGGAGGGGATGGTGGTACAGGAGGAGATAGCTGTGGGGGATGGAGTGGTAGGAAGAGTGGAGGAGGTCGGCAAGTTAGCAGGGGGTGGAGTAGGCTTCCCTGAAGAGATGGGTTTTCAGGGTGCACCTAAAGGAGAGGAGAGTAGGTGATAATCTGATGGGTTGGGGCAGGGAGTTCCAGAGGATGGGTGACACCCTGGAGAAGTCCTGGAGGCGGGCATGGGAGGAGGAGACCAGAGAACTAGAGAGAAGGAGGTCTTGTGAGGAGTGGAGTGTGCATGCTGGGCGGTACTTGGATATTAGGTCAGGGATGTAGTATGGGGCAGTATGGTGGACAGCTTTGTACGTCAGTGTTAGGATTTTGAATTTGATCCGTTGCACAATCGGAAGCCAGTGGAGGGATTGGCAGAGGGGGGTGGCGGAGATGGAGCGGTTGGAAAGGTGAATGAGTCTGGCAGCCGTATTCAGGATCGACTGAAGCGGGGATAGCCAGCCGGCGAGGCAGGCCAGTGAGGAGGGAGTTGCAGTAGTCGAGTCGTGATATGATGAGGGAGTGGATGAGCTGTTTAGTGGTTTCTGGGGTTAGGAACGTGCGTATTTTGGCAATGTTGCGGAGGTGGAGTCTGCACGAGTTTGTTAAAGATTGGACTTGGGGCTGGAAGGATAGGTTGGAGTCCAGAATGACACCAAGTACTCTGGCCTGCGGGGCGGGTTTGATAGTGGCATTGTTGGACATGATGGAGAAGTCAATGGGGGGTGGTGTCCAGGCTGGGGGGAAGACAAGAATGATTAATGAATGAATGAATGATTAACCTATTAAACTGGGGATAAAAAAACTAATATGAAAAGTTGTTATTCTAAAAAATCTTCATCTACTTGCATATTAAAGTTATACCAGCAAGAATTAGTCTTTATGTAGAAAACTATGATTTAAATCAAGCCTTACTGACTAGTGATTTAAATCGTGTTTTAAATCGTGATTTAAATCACTTTGATTTAAATCAAATCCACCCTGGTTCTTGGCCATTTATTCATATTCTGATTATGAGTACAATTCATCCACCTGTATTGTTTATTAGCCCTGGTTCACATATTTGTGGCCATGCGGGCCCTGTTGTGCGCGGGCATGAGAGCCAATTCATTTGAATGGACTCCCGTGCCCCAGGACATACAGGGAAGAAGTCCCTACACTTCTTTGGAAACCGCAGCTCGCACGGAAATCTCGGTTCCCAGTGCGGTTGCGATTTCCAGTGCGGGCAGTGTGTCATTAGAATTAATGGCACCCACCCGCAGGTTCGCATTCTTCTGTGTGGGTGGTGCGGCTGCACGGGTTTTTGTGCGGATCCGCAGCGGCACCACCCTCACATATGTGAACCAAGCCTTAGTACTGATTGATGTTCATTAGCAGCACTACATCACTTTTAATTTATTTATAAAGGCACAAATACTGACCTCTGCTCCAACAACTCGATGCCCACGAGGTCCCCTACTGGAGCCTGCTCTTTCCTGGTGTCAGTCATTAGCCGCCTTGATTGGCTGGCATAGGATGGCGTCACTCCTACGTAAGTACAAGAGTAATTTATTTTGGCACAATGGCACCATGCAAGAAATGTAAATGGAGCTGCGCATGCACAGCTACGTTTACATTCTGTGAAGGATGATTGTGAACAGGCAGTTAAATGTACAGTATTTTATTGCAGAAGGGACACTGCATGTCTCTTCTAAAATAAAAAGCCTACCTGTTCACAATTGTTCTGTTCCACTTTAATACCGGAGTCCACACTCAGCTCTCTTCTCAAACTTCACTTTCCTGTTCTTCAGAAATGACCAGTTATTAACACATGGGCCCACATCCAGCTCCTTTTGTAAGCTTCTCTCTTCTGTACCTCATAAATGGCCATTTATAAAAGTGGAACTAAAGGCACAAATACTTACCTCTCCTCTAATGGTCCGATGCCCGTGAGGTCCCAGCTGCTTCCTGGTGTTGACCTTTGGCCACCTTGCTGCTTGGCCAGCATGGGATGTCGTCACTCCTGCATATGGACGGCAGTTATTTATCTTGGTACACTGGCACTGTGCAATAAATGTAAATGGAGCTGCCCATGCACAGCTACAGTACATCTAGATTCTGTGGAGGATTGCAGCAGGCATAAATCCAGTCATACAGAGATTGAAATTCTGGCTGGTTCTGCAGGGCCAATAGAGCTGTTAGCAGGGCCGGTGCTTCCATTAGGCAAACTAGCCACCTAGGGGTGCCTGGGCGCAGCACAGTCCAGCTCTCTCTCTGTGTGGGACTCTGCCACGTCATGAATGATCCTCCAGCTGAGAGGAGGGACAGCGGAGGGGAGGAAGAAAGGACAGAGGAAGATGCTGGGTGTCTGGGGCCATTGCAGCAGCTGAGCTGCCACTTCTTCCAGTGTTCCTCTCAGACTCAGTCCCTTACTGCAAGCTGGCTGACAGCTGCTGATCCCTGTGGAGTTCCAGCCCTTCTCTTCCCATTCATCAGCGGAGGCAGAGCTGGGCCTGCGGAGGAAGGTAATGTCTGACTCTGATGTCTCGTGTCTGTGTGACTGGGAGGCCGGCCATCCATCACGTGCAATGTATCAATGTGTCATCCTCCATTCCCTGCAACTGTCACCCTGCCACTGCCAGCCAAAGATACAATCCGTCTGTGACACTGATTTTGTCTTTAATATTGGAACTGGTGGCATCTTATGGCACTTATTTTTGCAAATTAAAATAAATTAAGCCGTTTCATGTTTTGTTGATTTAATATTTTTCTACTGTTTTTAAAATGTTTCATTGTTTTTATTTTTTGGGGGTTCAAGTAGCTGGTCTTGCCAAGGGCGCAAAATAGTCTAGCTGCGGCCCTGGCTGTACGTCAGTTTTTGGGTGGGAACCTTCAGGGTTTTGTTCTTTCTGAAGAGCCAGACTCGATCCCCAACCTTAACTTGAGAAGCAGGGAAGTGAAGGCAGTCTGCAGAATGCTTCTTGGGAGACAGAGTTGGAGGATAGGTTAGCCTGGGTTTTACAACCGCTGTGTGAGAATGTCTGAACCATTTTGCTGGCATCAGGTATATAAAAAGAAATGTAAGAAAAAGAACAAGATTTTGGATAAAAACCATAAACACATAAGAAAGAGGACACACCCATAGATGAATGGGGCCAGACACTTGAACCTTTTACCTCTGCAGTTTCTGGATGTAGCTCTTCTTGATGTGCCACATGATATGCTAGACAGCTCCCTGTCTGATCCCTTGGACAATCTTGCCTTGTATCTTGTTTCTAGTAAACCTTAAACTTTTTTGCTCCTCCCATGAATTTCTTGATTTAAATCATGTCTCTGCACTTCCTGTATGCCTGATTGTGATTTCTCCAGCCAATATCTTGCTTCTTATGTACCTGAAGCAGCCCTTATCTTTTGCTACCATTTGTTACCGACCATTGGCTTGTTCCTTGACTATGCTTCCACTTGAACTTCACTTGCAACCACTTGTTACCAAACTTTGACTTGTTTACTGACTATGGTTCTACTTAATCCCTATATGCTACATCTGTTTCTAGACCCTGATTTGCTCACCTCCTGGTGGGGCTATCCTGAGGACTGTGACCTGGCACTGGCACGTAGTGAAACCCAACTCCACCATCAGAAGTTCTGGTGAAGACCTGTTACTGTTTAGACCCCGCACCTTGGGTGAGCCTGCATCATCCACCAGGGTGACCTGCTCATGTACTTAATCTGCTAGCAGAGTTGAAGAAGGCTGATAGGTAGTGCGTAAAAGAGACTGAGGTGAGCTGGGCTGGAACTAGCAATTTGTTTTGGTTCAGACCTGGTGTCAGGTTGTCTAAAGAGGTGGACCTAGCATCGAAGTGACCTTGGCCACCATAAAAAGGACAGAGTCTCTTCTTTGGGGACAACCAAGTAGCTCCTATCTGCATTGGTTCCTTTTGGCACTGATTAGAGAGTCCAGGTGCTACCAGAGGAAGGAGTGCTCTGAGGACACTGGGACATTGGGACACCAGACACCTTTCTCAAAATGTCTTTCCTGCAGATGTCATCTACTCTGATAGCTAGCTGCATGACCTCTCTCAGGGTTACCTTTATGTTTGGAATCTGGTGGGGCAGGTGGAGGGCCTACACAGTTCTTCAGCAAATTGCCCTACAAAGGATTAATTTCCCTTCTGGTGGTAAAGTATGCTCTGATAATGTAATGCACAGCCTGATTCCTAGGACAGGAACTATAGCTAGCCAGTGCTTGGTTGCCCCCAGGTCTTAGTACAGTTCTAGGCCAGCCTTTCTCAACCACGGTGCCCAGGCACCCTGGGGTGCCTTGAGGTTTCCTCAGGGGTGCCTTTCCAAAATGTCTAAAAACTGCCCAAAATTTATATACAAGCCAGCGGTGGAATAAGCCTGCCTTTTAGTTACACAAAGCCACAGGTTTCCATTGTGCACCATTACGACCTTCTAGCCACCAGCATCCTGACAATCAATGACATCATCAGCTGATAAGGAGGATGTCAGCTGCCTGAACACCATCCTAGTTTGACCGTCCCCTGCCCCTCTCCATTAGTGCTGGGGTCACATTAGCTCAGTGATGGAGAAAAACTGAGGGAGAAGAGAAACATTGGAATACTAGTCAGTACCAGTGTGCAAAAGTGTATTTGCTTTGGAAGAATAAAGCCCCTCTAATGTTGAGTGTCCTACAGTTGCAAGAAAAAGTATGTGAACCCCTTGGGATGACGTGGAGTTTTGCATGAATTGGGCATAACATGTGCTCTGAACGTCATCTAAGTCACAACAATAGAAGAACACAGTCTGCTGAACATAATACTACACAAACATTAGATGTTGCCATGGGTTTAACCATTAGCCGCCCGGCCAATAGCCGTTTGGCGGCTTGAAAAGCGCTGCAGCTTTCCGGGTCCACGCCATTTGGCGTGCTCCCGCACATGCGCCGTTTGCGCTATTGCAGAGCGGCGCAGCAGCGGGATCTGTCACCGCCCGTGCACCTCGGACACGGCCGATGACAGATCCGAGTACCGACTCCCGTTGCCGGTACCATGTGACCTGCCGCGACCAATCACAGCAGGTCACATGACAGTTGTATACAATGGATGGCTTCATTCATGATGCCATCCATTGTATACTAGTGCCTAGCTGTGAATGGTCACAGCTAATCACATGCACATGTCATGTGATTAGCTGTGACCAAATCACAGCTAAGCACAAAAAAAAAAAAAAAAAAAAAAAAGCTGAATGAATCGATTTCATTCAGCTAAATGCTTGCTTATAGCAAAGTAATTCTTTGCTATAAGCAAATTGTGTAAAAAAAAAAAAAAAAAAAAAAAAATACTGATCACTTCCCCAAAGTAGTACAATGTTACTATGGTAACATTGTACTATTTTGGTCATAGTAAAATATGAAAAAAAATCTTAAAAAAAATAAAAAAAAAATGTAATAAAAAATTAAATATAATAAAAAAATAAAAAAAAATTAAAAAAAAATATAATTTTTTTTTTTTTTCATACTGTCACCAGTCAGTGTCCCCTGTTCACCGCCATGCCAGTTATATGATGACGCTGTACTGCACTGTGACAGTATGTAAAAAAAAAAAATAGTGAAAATAATATTTTTCATTTTTTTCATTTTCGGAAAAATTATGACAAAAAAATACAACTTCAAAAAACTCGCCATGCCTCTTATGAAGTACGTCCGACTGTCTACTCAGCAAAAAGGGGTCATTTTGGGGATATCTGTACTATTCTGACATTCTTGGACCTCAAGAAATTAGATTGGCTGTCAGTACTTCAGGATTGATCAATATTCAGATCTATACCATAGTTTGTGAACTCTATAACTTTCCTACAAACTAAATAATACATCCTAATTTGGGTTATTTTCACCAAAGACATGTAGCAGAATACATCTCGGCCTAAATTTATGAAGAACAATTATTTATTTGTAAACTTTTATAACAGAAACAAAGAAAAATGTGTGTTTTTTTTTTTTTTTTTCAAAATTTTTGGTCTTTTTTTGTTAATTTAGCAAAAAATAAAAACCCCAGCGGTGATTAAATACCACCAAAAGAAAGCTCTAGTTGTGTGAAGAAAATGATAAAATTTTAGTTTGGGTACAATGTTGTATGACTGCGCAATTGTCATTCAAAGTGTGAGAGCGCTGAAACCTGAAAAATGGCCTGGGCAGGAAGGTGTAAAATTGCACGGTATTGAAACGGTTAATTGCACATAACATGTAAACATTCACAGTGCAAGGAGGAAAAAGTATGTGAACCTTTGGACTTAATAACTGGTTGACCTCCTTTTGGCAGCAATAACCTCAACCAAACGTTTCCTGTAGTTGCAGCTCAGACCTGCACAACGATCTGGAGAAATTTTGGACCACTCCTCTTCACAAAACTGTTTTTCAGTTGTAGCAATATTCTTGGGATGTCTGGTGTGAATCGCTCTCTTAAGGTCATGCCACAGCATTTTAATCGGGTTAAGTCAGGACTCTGACTGCGCCACTCCAGAAGGAGTATTCTGTGCTGTTGCAGCCATTGTTTTGTTGAATTACTTGTATGCTTTGGGTCATTGTCCTGTTGCATCACCCATCCTCTGCGGTGCTTCAGTTGGCGGACAGATGGTCATAACGTTTTCCTGCAAAGTGTCTTGATAAACTCTGAATTCATTTTCCCATCAATGACAACAATCCGTCCAGGCCCTGAGGCAGCAAAGTGGGGATGAGGTTTTGATGTTGGTGTGCTGTGCCTTTTTTTCTCCACACATAGTGTTGTGTTCTTCCCAAACAACTCAATCTTGGTTTCATCTGTCCACAGTATATTTTGCCAGTAGTGCTGTGGAACATCCAGGTGCTCTTTTGCAAACTTCAAACGTGCTGCAATATTCTTTTTGGACAGCAATGGCTTCCTCCGTGGTGTCCTCCCATGTACTCCATTCTTGTTTAATGTTTTCCTTATTGTAGATGTGTCAACAAAAATGTTAGCATGTGCCAGAGATTTCTGTAGGTCTTTAGCTGACACTCTGGGATTCCTCTTTACCTCATGCAGCATTCTGCGCTGTGCTCTTGCAGTCATTTTTACAGGACGACCACGCTAGGGGAGAGTAGCAACAGTGCTAAACTTTCTCCATTTGTAGACAGTCTGTCTTAGCATGGATACATGAACATCAAGACTTTGGAGATACTTTTGTAACCCTTTCCAGCTTCATGCAAATCAACAATTCTTGATCGTAGGTCTTCTGAGAGCTCTTTTCTGCGAGGCATGGTTCACATCAGACAGTGCTTCTTGAAACCAGTAAACCCAAAACAGGGGTGTGTTTTTAAGGGCAGGACAGCTGTCAGCAACACATCCAATATCATCACACTGATTGGAGTCAAGGTTGGCTCACTCCTGGCTCCAATTATCTCTGGGAGAAGTCATTAAGCTAGGGCCTCACATACTTTTTCCTCCCTGCACTGTGAATGTTTACATGTTATGTGCAATTAAACCATGGCAACATCTAATTTTTGTGTAGTATTATGTTCAGCAGACTGTGTTCTTCTATTGTTGTGACTTAGATGACGTTTCAGAGCACATTTTATGCCCAATTCATGCAAAACTCCATGTAATCCCAAGGGGTTCACATACTTTTTCTTGCAACTGTACATGTGTGGATATTGCTGCGTTATATAAAACTATTAAAACATTTTTTCACATTTTAGAATGGGGTGCCACAAGACTGTCCATAATTGTAAAAGGGTGCCTCGGCACTGTCCATAATTGTAAAGGGTGCCTTGACTGGAAAAAGGTTGAGAAACACTGTTCTGGGCCACACAACATTGAGCCTGGATTAAGATAACAGGAACCTGTAGACAATAGACATGTACAGAACTGAAAAATTAGTTTGTTTTTGTCACGGAGCTGGTCCTTCCTTCCCCATCCTCCAGGTTTGCTGGCTGCCACCCTTCTGTCCCATCCATGCTGGGACTTCTAGTCCTCTTTGTCCCTGACACAGGCAGACCTCAGCAGCCCCTCACCCCCCTGGCTTGCAGCCTAGCCTCCTGCTGGAGGAATCCACAAACAGGCCATCTCCTCCCTTCCCCCTCATGCATGAATTCCTGGGCAGGTCTGGAGACCTGAGAGACAGGGCCCGTCGCCATGGTAACCCGATAGGAAGTATCCGGTTACCAGCTCTATTCTTAAGGGTGAGCAGGAAAACCCCCATTGTGTTCTTCTGGCTGCGTGTGTGAGGGAAGGCTGGCTGAGGGCCAGCTCCTCTCATCCCCCCGTCCTCCTCTCCTCAGCTCCTGGACTGTCTGTGCTGCCTCGAATCCCTGCACTGTGGAGGGATCTTCTGCTGTCCCCGTGAACCTGCCTGGATCTATCACCTACCTGGACTTAACCCCTCGTCCTCCGTGAACCTACCTGGACTTAACCCCTTTGTTCTCCGTGAACCTGCCTGGACGTAACCCATCCCTGCCTGGAGCCTCCTGTGTGGACTAACCCTGTGGATTACAATACCCCTGTTGTTTCATATTGCCTTCCAGAGAACTGTACTGTGTTGCTGTGTCTGGTGTGGATCTGTGGACTAAAGGAACTGTTGTCTGTGCCCCAAAAACCTCCCCAATAAAAGCACGTTGGGTTCTGTGCAATCTGTCTCTGTGTGCTCTCTGGTTCTCTTGACAGTTTTCTTTTGGATTTGTAAAGTTAATTTTGTTTCATTGCATTCGTAACTAAATTAGTTTCTTTTATTTATTTTCAGACAGAATTAATTTTTCCAATGGATTTGAAGTATTCAAATCGAATTCAAATTGCAAATATTGAATAAATCCGAATTTATTGTGAACAATAGCTGATTCTATCCTAACCGAAATTTGAATTTCAAAAGACAGCTATATTCTTTTTATTTTATTCTATTCTAATCTATTCTATTTTTTCTATTCCATTATTTTATTTTCTACTATCTTCTATTCTATTCAATTCTGTTTTACATTATTCTATTTTATTCCATTCTATTCTTTTTTAATCTATTCTTTTCAAAATTTTAATTTTCGGAAGACTACATTCTTTCTATTTTATTCTAATCTATTCTATTTTTATTGCTATTCTATTCTTTTATTTTCTAATTTCTATTGAATTATGAAAATCTAATTTTGAAAGGCCGCTATATTCTTTCCATTTAATTCTATTCTATTCTATTCAAAAGTCTAATTTTAAAATTTCGATTTTGAAAGATGGCTATATTCTTTCCAATTTTATTCTAGTCTATTATTTCTATTCTATTCTATTGTTTTTATTTTTATCTATTCTTTTATTTTTTATTCTATTCTTTTCTATTCCTTTCTAATCTATTCTATTCTTTTATTTTATATAATATATGGTTAATATGGTCATATGGGTCCAGAAATGTCCTGCAGCACAAAAAACCCAAGAATGTCACTTTTCCAGCCAAAAAATGTCCCAGCCAAAAAACATTGATTACAGTCTATGTGTGCATGGACACATAGGAAAACATGCTGGGGGGTTTACTAGCTGTAGAAAAAAAAAAAACTGTTAAAAGCCAAAAACAGCAGCTGTAAAAACGTCCGGTGTGCATGAGGACTTAGAAAGACTCGTAAATTTAGTGATTATTTAATGAAACATAAATGACTTCCAAGTTACATGAATCACCTTGTGTGAATTTGTGCATAGCTGCAAATGATTTGGACTTTCAGTGACATTTTGAATGTATTATACTTATTATGACAGCTTAGTTGTAGCATGGAAGTGATAAGTGGTTTTTATTCATTGTCTATCAAGTTAAAATATAACTCCAGGTACATTTTTAGGCAGTTACAGAAACTGATTTTTCCTGTTTGGGATAAAGGAATCTTTGTAAGCACCCCTGTCACTGTAGAAATGAAATAAAAAATACTTACCTCTTTTTCAGCAGTTGGGTGCTCACTAAGTCCCTTGCCAGTGCTGGCATCTTCTCCCCAGTTTCTTCCGGGTGTCGGTCTTTGGCCATTTTGATTTGCTGGCATGAGATGATGTCAGTCCCATGCAGGGGCGGACTGACAACTCATGGGGCCCCCGGGCAATAGGGGATCATGGGGCCCCTGTGTTCTTGCCCAAACTCAAAAAAGCCTATGAAAAAGATACCAGGGGCATTTCATGGGGCCCCCTACTGACCCCGGGCCCTTGGGCAGTGCCCTAGTTTCCAAATGGTCAGTCCGCCCCTGGTCCCACGCCTGCAAACTGTTTGGAATGTGAATTGACATCCTGCAGAGGATTGGGAACAAGCGGGTAGGTGTATTTAATTGCAGAGGAGACATTGCATGTCTCTTCTGCAATAAAGAACCTACTTGTTTGCAGATTTTTGTTGTTTTTTTTTAGACTTTAGTTCCATTTAAAATGATTTGTCTCAATCATGTAACTGCCACTTTTACTGGACAGCTTGGTTTGTTTAGAGAAGCTGAAAAACAACAGACTTATTGACAGGATCAAGAGATAAAAAAACTGTGCTACATGGGAGACTCAGAAGAGCAAAGACTGCTATGTTAATGCTAGTGACAAACTGCATCATATACAGTACGTCACTTTTGATTTTGCCCAGTGTTGCACTTTAACCACTTAAGCCCTGGAAGGTTTTACCCCTTCATGGCCAGGCCAATATTTGCTATTTAGCACTGCACTACCTTAAAGCACAGTTCCACTGAAAAGAGGAAGCGCCGCTTCTCAGCCTCCTACACCCCCCCCCCCTCCACTGGCACCTTTTGGGGGAGAGGGGGATGTGGGTACCTGGCTTTGACAGGTACCCGCTCCCAATTCCGGCTCAGTTCACTGTAGCGAACTGACCTAGAGGTCCGGCCCCCCCACCTTCCCCCGCAGCCTTCTGGGACACTTCACAGGTCCCAGAAGACTGTGGCCCATTCACATAGCACAGCACGCTTCGCAGATGCACAGTAGGAAACCTACTTACAGCCTTGCGGCTTCACAGCAGGTTTCCCTTAGTCAAGATGGCGGTGCCAGCACCCGATAGCCATTTGAAGTATTGGCTCAGGTGAGGACACCACTGGATGCCTTGATAGGTAAGTGCCCTAATATTAAATGTCAACAGCTACAGGATTTGTAGCTGCTGACTCTTAATTTTTGTTTAAGGGGGGGGGAATTAGAACTTCTCTTTAACTGTGGTAATCGTGTGGTCATGCACTCGTTTTTAGTATCTAACAAAAACAAATTTGAGAAAAAAAACCAAAACAATATTTTTTATTTTCTGCTGTAAAAATTACTCAATATAAAAAAATAAGAAAATATAATTCATAAATTTAGGTCAAAATGTAGTCTTCAGTAAAAACAAAACATCCCAATAAGTATATTGTATATTGATTGGTTTGTGTAAAAATTAAGTTAAATTTGTGTGAAAGCGTCTATAAGCTATGGTATATGTACTGGTTTTTGTCTTTTTTAATATTTGTAATGGCGATGATCAGCGACTTATAGTGGAAATGTGGTCAATATGACACTAAAGGATACTTGCTGGGAGGTACACTAACTGACGAACTGACACTGACTTAACCAGTGACACTACAGTGATCAGTGATAATGCCATACACTGTGCAGTGTACTAATGACAATGGGTAGAAAGGGGTTAACATCTCGGGGTAATCAAGGGGTTAAGTGTGTGCCTAACAAGTGTTTATTAACAATGTGTGTAATATGTACAGCTTTGCAGGGAGAAGAAACAAACAGATCGTTCCCCCTGTACAGAGCCCTGTGCTTTTCTCAACACTGGGCTCTGGGCTGTGATTGCACACACCAAATCAGCAAGTCTCAGCCATTAATCATTGGCTGAAATCTGTTGATTAAATCCCGCAGTGCCCAATCACAGTGGGAGCCAGCCGGGGGCACACGCACCCTGAACCCGGAGGACACTGCCAAGGTACAGGTACATGACTGTGCCTGTATGAGCCGCCTGCTTGCAGTAAGATGCAACTGGTTAGGGCATCAGTGCTCTATACATGGATCACTTGATTCAGAAGATTCCAGGCAAAATATTGCTTCCTAAAATATTTTTTATGAAAGAATTTCATTTTTTTAAATATTACAATTTTGTATAGTGGGGGCCCTTTCTGGGAGGAGGCCCAAGGCAAATGCCCATTTTGCCCTCCAATCAATCCAGCATGAGTCCAATCTACTGTATGATTTTAGTAACCATTAACGTATATACAGGCGTGCCTCGGTTTACGAACGCCTCAGTTAATGTAATTATTGGTTTACGAATGAAAATCCATTGAAAATAATGTCTCGGTTTCCATATTTTTTTCGCAATACAAACGGATTAATTGGTTTTCAATGCATTTGCGATTTTTTTTTTAATCATGTCCCTGTACAGTACTATGCCTTTAAAGTGCACTTTATAAAGAGTTTTGAACAGATAAGACTTTTTTCTGACCTCCAGAACGGATTAATTGGTTTTTAATGCATTTACTCATTTTTATTTAATCATGTCCCTGTACAGTATTTATGCCTTTAAAGTGCACTTTATAAAGAGTTTTGAACAGATAAAAGACTTTTATTTTACTTTTTTCTGACCCCCGGAACGGATTAATTGGTTTTCAATGCATTTACTCATTTTTATTTAATCATGTCCCTGTACAGTATTTATGCCTTTAAAGTGCACTTTATAAAGAGTTTTTTGAACAGATAAAAGACTTTTATTTTACTTTTTTCTGACCTCCGGAACGGATTAATTAGTTTTCAATGCATTCCTATGGGAAACCGAGTTTCGGTTTACAAATTTTTCGCAATACGAAAAGTCCCGCAGAATGCATTAAATTCATAAACTGACATACACTTGTATTCATATTCTATCAAACAGATCAGACTGTTTGCCAGACTTGTAAAGAAAAAGTTATGGTTAGCAGTGTCAAATGTCAGCTTCTTGTTAAGAAGAGTAAACTGTAGCACACAAATCATGAGGCTGTCAAAGGATGAGTTTCATTAGCCTGCTCAGTATAGTGACATGACATAATTTCATGAAGTGATATTGGATAAGAGGTTAGCGGTGTGGAAACTGATCTAGTGAAAGCCTGACTTAGGAACATGTCAAGAGATGATTCTGCAGAATCATCCAGGCTGGGGAACCACTGCTTTTAATTAGGGTTGCCACCTGGCCAGGAAACATGGGACTAGCTGCCAATGTTATTAATAGGAAAGAGATCATAAGGTCAGTCATTTTTTTCTTGAAAAGGTGGCAAGATTCCTTCTCATGAAGTTGTTGGTCCAGCCAACGAGGGAGCAACTGCATAGTTAAAGTGGAACTTCACTCTCTCTATCAACATAGACTTAATCTTTATGTTACAAGCATTACTAAATGGATAGGAAAGTATATCATATTTACTTGCTTTGCATTTTTTTTTACATTTCTTCAGTTACTTCTTTGGTCTCATGCCTAGGTAAATGATGTCATACATCCTAGCAGTCTTCAGCAGGTGAGGCCTATGCCTGAGCTAAGGGCAGATGGATTCCAGGAAGTAAATGCTACATGAATCATCTGCCCTGACTCAAAATGGCCACAGCCAGAAATGTCAGGGTGTATTGTCCAGTTCTGGGAGGGCATCATATAACATCCTCCCAGATCCGCGCCCCCCGTGCACCCCCTCAGCGCGCACCACGGCTCTGTGTGATCACTTTGCCCTTTGGACACAGCTGATCACATGACACGGTAAAGGGCCAATCACAGCGCCCTTTTACCACGTCATCAGCTGTGTCCAGTCACAGCTGATCACGATGTAAACGCACCTGCTGGTATCGGCAGTACTTTCTTCATGCTGTCACAGCATGAGGAAAGTACTGCCAGTAACCAGCAAGTGTGAAAGGAGACATCTACACTGATAATCAGGGTACTGACTATCAGTGCAGCCCCAAAAGTGCCCATCGGTGCTGCCTATAAATGCCAATCAGTGCTGCCAGGCAGTGCCACCTATTGGTGCTGCCAGTCAGTGCTGCCTATTAGTGCCCATCATTGCCGCCTATAAATGCCCATCATTGCTGCCAGTCAGTGCTGCCAGTCAGTCCTGCCTATCAGTGTCTTTCAGTGCTGCCCTATCAGTGCCGCCTCATCAATGCACATCAGTGAAGGAGAAAAATTACCTGTTTGCAAAATGTTTTAACAGAAACTAAGAAAAAACTTTTTTTTCCAAAAATTTTGGTCTGTTTTTATTTGCAAAAAAAATTTAATTTAGCAAAAAATAAAAAAACAGTGGTGATCAAATACCACCAAAAGAAAGCAATATTTGTGTGAAAAAAATTATAAACATTTCATATAGGTACAGTGTTGTATGACCACACAATTGTCATTCAAACCGCAACAGCACTGAAAGCTGAAAATTGGCCTGGGCAGGAAGAGGGTAAAAGTGCCCGGTAGGCAAGTGGTTAAGGATGCTTTCACACTGATCATTTTTTTTCTGTTTTTGTATTAATAAACAGAAGAAAATGTGTGACCATTAAATCCTATGGAATTCTTCACACTGGTCAGTTGCGGGGCCATTGCATTTTTCAAAGTCGCGCAACCTGCATTTTTGATGCCAGTGATGCAGTAAAAATGCTGCACCAAAAACACCCCTCCCCATTGAAATGAATGGAAACGCATCAAAAATGGGGCAAAAAACACATAAAAAAGTTGTGGTTGCATTTTGGTTAATTTTTTTGTCACGTCCTTTTTTCACAGGTGCATAATGCACCGGAAATGCAGCAAAAACGTATGCATTTTTGCATCATTTTTGTATTGGAGCAGCATAAAAGTAGTCTAACGCAGAACTTTGGTTAAAATGTAAAATCATATATTTGGGTCTACATTGTATTTCAATTATTTCTAGCCTACTTCTAACAATTTAAATGATGTTGTAGCTTGAAAACGTATTTTGTGAAGATCCCCACGTATTTACTTCCTTGACTTATGTGACATGTATTCACTATGCCCTGTGAGTAGGCACTGCTGTGTCACACATTTCACAGAGCCTGCCTTCTGAACTACAGAGGAGCTGAGAGGAGGAGTTTCAGGAGGCGGAATCAGTCCAGGAATCACTGTTAGCAGGCATCAAGGTACCATGGGATTTGTAGTCTTTAAAATTTGAAATCCAGGAAGTTGTGGAAAGAGATGGCCAGCTGACAGACATCACTTACAGCATGGAAGGAGATCATGCAAGTAAGCTTGCATTGGATCAAAAATAACTATTGTTTATATCAGCGGTGGACTGACGACTCATGGGGCCCCTGGGCAATAGGGGATCATGGGGCCCCTGTGTCTTCACCCACACTCAAACCACACCTAAAAAAGCATATAAAAGGTACCAGGGGCAGTTCATGGGGGCTCCTACTGACCCCGGGCCCTCGGGCAGTGCCCGAGTGCTCGAATGGTCAGTCCGCCCCTGGTTTGTATTACTATTACAATGCTGATGTGCCTGAACTTGCTGCCAGTCTGAACTAGGTAGGCTTATTCATGCCGTTTGGTGCTGTCCCCTAGTCAGACGATTCAGGGAGAAGGTCTAAAATCTCATACTCCGCCTCCCCACCATTAATTTAGGCAAAAACCCAGCTTGCTACCTAGCACACAAAGCACTTACTCAATGCAGCTGGAGCATGCATTACTGTGGAAATGACCAGTAACTCCCCCAACAACCCCTTGGTTTGACAAAATCATCTAGATTTTGAAGCAGGATGACCTCAAGGCTTCCTTATATAACAAAAAGAAAAAGTTCTCACTACAGAATTATGCTGACTTCGTAGAGCACAGAAACGGTGGAAATGGCACAAATATCTTCTAGTCACACTCCTTATGCAACCCAAGTCTTGCTTCCCCCACTTTGAATGGATGTAGGGGAAAGTGGGCATAGATAAACTGGTACAACTTATGTAGGAGGCTTTGTTTAATCTCTGAGTATCACCTGAGGCCAGTCACTTCACTGGGCATATGTAAGGGTTTACAGACACTTTAACCACTTGCCCTCCAGAGGATTTACCCCCCTTCCTGACCAGGCCATTTTTTGCAATACGGCGCTGCGTTCCTTTAACTGACAATTGCACGGTCATGCAACACTGTACATAAATTAAATTTATGTCCTTTTTTCCCACAAATAGAGCTTTCTTTTGGTGGTACTTATTCACCTCTGTGGTTTTTATTTTTTGCGCTATAAACAAAAAAGAAAAAAGACCAACAATTTTGAAAAAAAAAACAAAAAAAAACTATATTTTTGACTTTTTGCTATAAAACATATCCATAAAAAATGTTAAAAATCGAATTTCTTCATAAATTTAGGCCAAAATGTATTCTGCTTCATGTCTTTGCTAAAACAAAATCCCAATACTTGTAAACTAATTGGTTTACGTGAAAATTATAGCGTCTACAAATGGCAGTATACACACTGGAATTTTTTTTATACCAGTAATGGTGGCGATCAGCGACTTATAGCGGGACTGCGGGAGTGCGGCGTGACTAACTGCCACTGACATCCCCAGTAACACTAATACAGTGATCAGTGCTAATAAAAAGCACTGACACTATACTAATGACACTGGGCAAGAAGGGGGTTAATTTTTGGGCAATCAAAGGGTTAAATGTGTGCTGTTTTACTAGGGAGGCATGCTGTTTTGTATCTTTCTGCTGTGCAGAGAGATACAAAACAGCATGTCCATGCTGACAGGTCTCTTCCCTGTCAGGTTTACATGGCGATTGCTGAGTGCCAGCCGGAAATTGGCGGCTGGGAGACGGTGATTGACATCCCTAGCCGCCAATAGCAGCGCGGGTAGGGCGGCGCACGTGCGCCCCTTACCCGGAAATGTAAATCACATATATATGTGATTTTGCGCAGCTCTGCCACCCTGTAGCAGTACTTCTACTATAGGGCGGTGCGCAAGCAAACCTTTCCTTGGGGTGATATGGAGACTGGAAAGCAACCTTGAAAACAGGGTTGCAACTGCAGTAAGTTATCTCAAGCAGTAAGTCAGTTCACCCAATCCACTAAAGAGTGGCAAGATGGAAGACTTTTCTTATGGAAACGGAAACGGAGGCTACAATTTGCAGAGGCTCACCAAAATTGGACAAAAGAAAATTGGAAAAACATTGCCTGTCTGATGAGTCTCGATATCAGCTGCAACATTCAGATGGCAAGGTCAGGATTTGGCATAAACAACATTAAAGCATGGATCCATTCTGCCTACACACACACTGTATATGTATGTATGTATGTATGTGTATATATATACTGTATATATGTATATACACACACTCACCGCCCACTTTACTAGGTACACCAGTTCGATTGCTTAGTGACACAAATTGCTAATCAGCTAATCACAAAGCAGCAACAACTTGTTGACTTTCAAACCGAGCATCACAATGGGGAAGAAAGGGGATTTAAGTGACTTTGAACGTGGCATGGTTGTTGGTGCCAGACGGGCTGGTCTGAGTATTTCAAAAACTGCTGATCTACTGGGATTTTTCATGCACAACCATCTCTAGGGTTTACAGAGAATGATCCGAAAAAAAATATTCAATAAGTGACAGTTGTGTGGACGAAAATGCCTTGTTGATGTCAGGTCAGAGCAGAATGGGCAGACTAGTTGCTGCGACATTCAACGGTTCAGGCTGGTGGTGGTGGTGATATTTCGGAACTAGCAAGGTGTACCTAATAAAGTGGCCAGTAAGTGCATTTATAAATGTATTGGTGTCATATGAGTGTTGTGTAGTTGAACCCAGGTCCTTCCCCAGTAAGGTTCTCTGTTTTAGAACACCTGAGGGGTTCCATCATCTTTCTTGAAACAATTAATATCGATAAATTATTTAACAATTAATATATGGTGTCTGTTGTGTTTATTACTTTATATTTGTATGTAATTATATATCTGTCTCTTTATTATACTGTATATCTAAGTATTTTGGTTAATTGTCATGATTTTATCGATGTGGGGGTTATGCTTTGGACTTTGCCTCATTTACTGGGGTTTGCATGAACTACTATGTAATGAGCTTTTGTCTGTCCTATAAAATTGATGAATTGTAGCACTATGACTTTGTGGTTTGTGTGGGACCTTTGGCGGTAGTAATGTATAGATCTCTACATTTACTAAAATAACAAAAAAACAGAACAATAAGCTTTTGAATATGTGAAAGTCACAGCAAAAATTACAATAATTTTAACACTGCAAAGATACTGTAACTATTTGCTCATAGTCACACTATCCCTTTATGATGATCATGTGTAGATCTAAAATGTTCCTCTTAGTTTTTGACCGATACTGTCATTTCCTGAACTGTGACACATAAAAACAGAACAAATAATATTTTTAACAAAATGTGGTTGTGTACCCATGAATCAAGCCAAAAATAGAGTCTAGTAATCTGACAAGAGAAAGTGTGGTACAGCCTACCTTTAGCAGAAGTAGATTGATAGTTAGTCCTCATGCACACGTTTTTACAGCTGCTGTTTTTGATTTTGACATTTTTTTTCTACAGCCAGTAAACCACCAGCATGTTATCCTATGTGTCCATGCACACATAGACTGTAATCAATGTTTTTTGGCTGGAAAATAAAACCAAGGACTAGTGGGTTTCTAGAGGAGTTTTTTGGCTGTAAAAAGGCTCTAACGATGAAAAACGTGGCAAAACGTGGTAAAACGCAGTAAAATGCTGCAAACCAGCGTTTATTTATTCTGGGCATTGAAATTAATAAATGCTAAAGTACTAAACATGCCTAGGGTTTGGGCGTGTTTGACGTTTTTAAATGTGGGTAAACCTTTGTCCCAAATGCAATTCTTGATGCTTTTTCAGCTGCTGTTTTTGGCTTTTGACATTTTTTTTTCTACAGCTAGTAAACCCCTCAGCATGTTATCCTATATGTTCATGCACACATAGACTGTAATCAATGTTTTTTGGCTGGAAAAAACCCCAGGACTAGTGGGTTTCTAGAGTTTTTTAGCTGTAAAAACGCTCTAACGATGAAAAATGCGGCAAAACATGGTAAAACGCAGTAAAATGCTGCAAACGCCGAAAAAAAAGTGGGAAAACGCAGCTACATGCAGCAAAACACCAATGCAAAATCGCTAAAAAAAGCTGAAAAACTCATGTTTTTAACATGACTTTACACAGCTAATGTTACCAGCGTTATCAAACCGTCCAGTGTGCACCAGCGGCGGACTGACAACTCATGGGGCCCCTGGGCAATAGGGGATCATGCGGCCCCTGTGTCCTTGCCCAAACTCAGAAAAGCCTATGAAAAAAGTACCAGGGGCATCTCATGGGGCTCCCTACTGACCCCAGGCCCTCGGGCAGTGCCGAGTTTCCAAACGGTCAGTCCGCCCCTGGTGTGCACGAGGGCTTAACAACATGAATCTTCATGCTAAAATTTTTATTTAAAGCAGCTGGTCCCTTTAAATGTGTACTACAATAAACCTGTCCATGAAAAGTGAGGGCAATCAGATATGTAGGCAGACACCAGCCTGTTGTTCCGTACCCATGTTTACTTGTCATGTACATGTTTATGTGAATACACTGCACAGAAAATAGTGTGAACAAACAATTCCCAGGACCAGCTTGTTTTAGGGAAAAGAAACAGTAACTGGACAAAATTTCAAACCTGCCTGGCCGATTCCTCTCCTCTAAATGTAGTCAGCTAAAATTGCTGCTGATACCATAATGGACTGTTGTGTAATGCTGTCAAAATTTCCACATCAGGCAACTATTGTGTCCTTTCTGTGATATACTAAGGCTCGTTCACATTAATGTTCAAATCTCTCTTCAGAGAGCATTTGACAGGCAGTGAGGAGGCATTGGCGGTTATTTACTAAAACTTGAGAGTGCAAAATCTGGTGAAGGTCTGCACAGAAACCAATCAGCTTCCAGGTTTTATTGTCAAGCTTAACTGATCAAGCTGAAGTTAGATGCTGATTGGCTACCATGCACAGCTGCACCAGATTCTGAGTGCGCCCATTTTAGTAAATCTCCCCCATTGCATCACCTCCTTACTGCCTACTTTAACCACTGGAACCCAGTACTAGTGCGCCATGGTTGCGGAGCAGTCATAGAGCAGCCCCATTCACTTAAATGGGTCACTAGATTTTTTTTTTTTTAGCACTTTTCTTTTACAAAGAATTTTATTATAGAATAGATAGCAGCAGAGAATCAGTCAAAAACAGATGCATTGACCAACAGGAATAAAACATACAAGGTATTCGATGAATATTACAGAGTATGTACTGATGGAGAGACATAGAAATAAACTGCGTACATAAGTGCCATGTTATAGAAAAAGAGAACAAAAACAACCAAAAAAAAGGGAAAAAACAGTAAGTTGCAAAAATGATAAACATATAGAGATCAATGACAATATAAACTCTAAGGAAAAATTGTCACTATATCAGCATACAGAAAGCGGAGACTATATGAGATGGAGCCTCTCTGAATGCAGATATGTACTCCACACGCAGGGCTCTCGATGGAGTCCAGCATAAGAATATAGTATTGCTGGTGTGGCACTCAAAGCAATAATCACAATCAGCACAAATAGCATAAAAACAGACTAAACAAGATGAAAGAAAAGAACGAAGAGAAAGGAGACGAAAGCAAAAACATATAGGGCTCCAGGGGGACTGCAGCAGAAAAAAAAGAAAAATAAACTAATGTGTAAATTTTATATCGACAGAAGGGACTGGTCGAATCTTGGGCTATATCAAGCCAAGTACGCCATGTCTGCAGGAATTTTGTGTGGGTGTCTAACAGTATAGCCGTCAGTTTTTCATTAACCATTATGAAGTTCATCCGGTTTTTGACAGCCTCGAAGCTGAGGAGGGGAGTCTTCCAAGCCCTCGCGATCGTCAGCTTGGTGGCCATAAATAGGTGCGATGCCAGCTGCCGTTCGGGACAAAGTAGGCCCACTAATGGTTTAAATAAAAGCGCTTCATATGGGTTGCGCTTTATGTCTGTGTGAAACATAGTGCGGAGGAGGGCATAAACTCTGATCCACAGTCTGCAAACCTTGGGGCAAGTCCACCAAATATGCACCATAGTGCCCATTTGTTGACAGCCCCGAAAGCAAGTCGGGGAATATGTAGAGATAAAACGAGCCAGACGAGCAGGCGTGTAATACCATCTATAAAGAACCTTATAAGCATTTTCTAGAATAATTACATTCCTAGAACATTAGATAATGCTTGGGTCATGGTCCGCCAATCCTGTTGATCCAGAGTGCCCCTGAGTTCCGAGTGCCAACGCTGATGATAAGAACGGACCGGAGGAGTTCTATAAGAAATAATGGAGAAGTACACCAGAGAGATTAAGCCCGCAGCATGGAGTCTATGTCTACATTGACTTTCAAAGGGGGACAGTCTGTAGGGTCCCGAATGCGTCCGTATTAATGTATTGATAAAGTGGCGGAGTTGAAGGTAGGTAAGATGCTCCCGCATTGGGATATCATGAGAGGAGCGCAGAGTTTCAAAGGTGAGTATTCGAGTGGGAGAGAGCAGTGAATGCACATCATGGAAGCCATTTGTTTGCCACCAAGCAAACTGTCCAGGATTATCACGATGTCAGGGCGGGGCTGTGGAACGGACAGGTAGGCCTAGTGGCAGGGTAACGCACTAGCTGACGACAACCACCACCAACAGACCGAAGTCCCTCAGGGCGCGGAGTCTAAGTCCCAGGCTGCCCTTCACCAGGACCCCTGATGGTGGGGATGGACTTGACGCAGCCAGGAACCAGGTCGCGGCCCCCGAGACACCCCGGCTGCGGTAATGGCCGCCGCCAATGGCGTGTAGCTGGTGAGAATGACAATAGCGTAGTCAGGCAAGCTGGGTCGACAACAACGGGACAAAACGGTACAGAACAGTAGACAGAGAATCACAGGTCACGGGCCGGGTTCAGCAACGGAAGGTCAGATCGAAGGAAAACACAGAGAATGGTCTTAATCACAAGCCGAGTCAGAATACCAGAAGAGTCACGAGCGTATAACAAAGAGCTGTAGGAAGACAAAGACACAAGACACAAGTGCAAAGAGAATGTGCGGGCCACAGGCTTATATGTCATCAGCCACACCCCTCTGGGGGATGGACCTCAGAGACCTGAAGGCATAAAAGGATTCCCACCATGCACAGCAGAATCCAAGATGGACGCCAGCACATGGAGTAACAAAACCTCAGGGAAAAGGTAGGACCTTGACACACACACGACCTGGGGGGAATAATGGGTTATGTAGCAAACGTAGTAACGGTAGATGGGCAGAGATGAGGCCAGCGGAGTCCCAAAGACGAAGCGTTAGCGTCGGCAACGGACTAAGGAATGAAGGTCGATGGGTAGAAGGAAGCCACGGCAAAGAAAGAGAGTGGTATCGGGTGGAAGTCCATCAAGTCTATAGTAGCCCACAAGGGAAAGTAGTGAGAGGGTAATTGACATAGCCTTAAGTCAGGGTGAGCTTGATTCCTAAATACGGCAAGGCCGAGAACCATTGAAAAGGGAACGAATGTTTCAGAGTCGCCAAAAGTGATGGTCAGAGGGTAATTGACATAGCCTTAGATTTGGCAGGGTTGACATGAAGGCCTGAGAGAACTGCAAAGGAATCCAAAACCGCAAGTAAGTTAAGCAAAGTAACCCCTGGGTTCGTGACCAACAACAATATATCGTCAGCGAACAGAGATAACATGCTGAGAATCAGCTACATCTATTCCCTTAATATCAGGATGCATACGAATGGCTTCTGCCAAAGGTTCCAAAGCCAAGATAAATAGTATGGGAGAAAGTGGGCACCCTTGTCTAGTTCCCCTGCCAATCGGGAACGTTGAGGACTCAAAACCATAATATTTGAGTTTTGCTTGAGGGGACGTATATAATGAAGAAGTCCAATGCAAGAACGAGGGACCAAAGCCAAAATGGTGAAGGACCGACATGAGATAAGGCCAGGACAAAGTGTCAAAGGCCTTGTTGAAATCTAGAGATAGGAGCATCATATCAATTTTGCAAACATGAGCCAAATGTTGTAACTGTAAAATGCGCCTGATCGAATCTCCAGCTTGTCTGTGGGGGACGAAACCCACCTGCTCCTTTTTTATCAGACGAGAAAGGAAAGAATTCAAACGAGTGGCTAAGATCTTGGTGAGGATTTTCATGTCAATGTTAATAAGAAACATTGGCCTGTAATTTGCCCAAGAGGAATGATCTCGATCCGGTTTTGGATCATAACCACATTAGCAGTCAAAGAGTCAGGGGAAAAGTTCGAACCTCCCTTCACCGCATTGAACATAGTGGTAAGGTGAGGGGCAAGCACATCAGCCAATTTCTTGTAATATAAAACTGTGTATTCATCTGGACCTGTGCGTTTGCCCGTCTTCAGGTCTGCAATGCATTGCAGAACTTCCGATATTTGAATATCACGGTCCATCAGGTCCTTATGAGCCTGAGTCAAAGTAGGCAAGGACAGATGAGATAAAAATTCAGAAATAGACTGAGGGTCAGTCCGTGTAGGATCCGTATAAAGTCTGGCAAGTCGATGCCGGAACTCCTCCAATATCGCTACAGGATTACTTGTGAGAGCATTCTGACGAGTGCGTAAAGAAATCGGTTTGGGGTGAGAGCATAATCTAGGTGCTAACATGGAATCTGGTTTATTTGTTTTACTATACCACATCTGGCGTGTCCAACGCAAAGAGCACTCAGCCTCATCCGTCAAACAGAGATCCAGTTTCAGGCGGGCCTGATCTAGCAATCTACGATTCGATGGGGTTGGTACCTGCTTAAATTGAGCTGATGCGGAAGCTAGTTTTGATTCCAGCTGACACTGTTTATGTTGTCTATTCCTCCTCCGCCTCAAAGCTATCTGAATAATATGGCCCCTAAGAACAGCCTTGTAAGCTTCCCACAATGTCACCGAAGAAGAGACAGAACCCGAGTTTAGCTAAAAATATTCTTCGGATTTACGCAGTAGTTCCACCTGAATCTCCTTTAGTGAAAGTAGAGAGTCATTCATAATCCAAGAGGAGTAGGCTGGCTTACAGAGGAGAGATCAACAAACCACCATAATGGGGTCGTGATCAGACCATGGAACTGTGAGGATAGAGACGGAGCGAACCAAGGGAGCTGTTTGCGAAATACAAAAGCATGGTCAATTCTAGAATGAGAATGATGAGGGTGAGAGTAGTAAGTATAGTCTTTCCCCCGGGGGTGGAATTCACACAATAGATCTACCAGGTCATGGGTACTTAACGTACGGGTAAAGGATTTAGCTGAAGTGGAAGAATTAGAATTCTCTACAGGATATTTATCTAGGGAGGGATTTAATACTAAGTTGGAATCTCCTGCCATCAAAAGGGTACCCTGTTGATGGACAGCCAGGAGGGAGCAGATATGTGATAGAAAGGGTCCAGGGTTGACATTGGGAGCATAGTAGGTCATTATTGTGACATCTATACCCTGAAT